ATTATAAAACCAAATACTGAACTGTACACCAAATAATAGGCATACCAGTAAAATTAAAACATATAACATATAACAACCTGACTCAAAATACTCTAAATGCTGCAGTAACATAAGACAAAAATATAAGAGAAATCTGCGGGAGGTTTGATGTGTGTGACATGGAGATGGTGAGTGTCTGCGGTGACAGGGCTGGTGGCTTTAAGGGCCAGGCAGGGCCGGAGCCTGGCTCATATAGGAAGATGGCTGCATGGGCATGGATGAAAAAGTAGGAAAAAGGACTTAATGAGGTAACTGCGAGGAGGAGAGAGTAGGGAAAATGTAGAGATGATAATCTTCAGAGGAAAGTACAGCAGTCTTAGGAAGGAAAATGTGAAGAATATGAGATTAAGAATATACAGAGGGTCAAAATGGCATTGTTATAATTAAAAGAACAATAACAACTACAGCCAAAGCCAGGATAAACTTTTATGCCTTAATTTGCCTTCTGTAAAACTGAAATCACCTCTTTGGGACCAACCTCAGGCATAATCTTGAGATTCAATCCTCCAAATGATGGCAGAATGAAAGTTACAGATAAGAAAATATATATTTATGCATTGTATAGATGCCATGTCCTACGAGATGGCTTCGAGGGATCCTACACTACTTGGTCACTGAGATTCAAGTGTTGGGTGCCCTTGCCAACCCTCTAACTGGAAGACTGTACCACAACAACACCTGAGCCTTACAAGGAACGGTTGTCATGATACATGGAGCTTTTGATGGGAGATCACGTAAGTACTTTTGAAGGTGAAAGGGGAAACCAAGAGGTGGCTAATGGTGATGCTGTGAATAATATATAAATGATAGGAACAAAAGAGAAAGGAGAAAACACAGTAAGATTCAGTTACAAAGTTGGAGAGGGAAAATGTTTACAAGGACACAAGCTGGGGACTCGTACAGGGTAACAGAGGGGAATTGTGTACCTGGGTGGCTGGCAAGACAACAGAACTCTGAGGTGGCAAGGGAAGCAGGCACAGTGCAAGGGAGACATTGTCCTCCACCTCACTTTGCACTGTTCCAAATGCTTTCCTCTGTCAAAATCTAGATGTACAAAGGCTCGATCCCAAGTTTGTCTTAAGTCTTGGGTGTTGGGCCTCTTTTTTTTTTTTTTTTTGACTAGTATTGACTGTACTGTACTGGGTGCCAAGAAGGGCAGATATGGGGCACATGCTTGGAAGACCACCTTGTGCCTAGGACAGGCTGATGGGTTCATTATAGGAAGGCATCCCTGAGCCTAGGATGACAGGCTGAGGGATTCACTCTGGGTTCACTACTCAATCTCTGTCATTCAGCAAGCTAGTGTGACTTCCATACTGAGTGTGTAGCAGTGATCATGGTGGGAGCATTGCTATGGTTCCCTGTTGCACCGCAGACATGAGTGAGGTACTGGATGATTCAACCAAATTTACAGAATAAGTCAGACAGTGTGACCCAATGTCTCTGCCATATATGACCCTTGACCTAAGGTCAACAAGGTCATGGGCAGGTGAGCCAACATATGTCTGTAAACAATCCTGGACCCTCTCTTAAGTTTCAGTGGGACACAAGAATGAGGTACAAAATAAACTATTTAAAAATAATGTATAAAACAAGAAAATTATTAATGGTGCCGGCTTAAAACTAATTAAAGATTCTCCTATCACAGTTTGTGTTGTAGAAAAGGAAATCAATAAATATACAAATTATTGAATATAAAAAATGGTCATTACTCTATAAATCTAGTAAGTGGCAGATGTCAGCAAATGAATGAACCCACAACATTGCCGGCAGGGCAGCAGAGGCTTGCCCAGAACACTGCTGGCAGGGTAGTTGAGCTCACCATAACACTGCCGGCAGGGCAGCTAAGACTCACCCATAACACTGCCGGAAGGGCAGCTAAGGCTCGCCCACAACACTGCCGGTAGGGCAGCTGAGGCTCACTCACAACATAAGTACACACAAGCTTTGGTAAGAAGTCTTTGGGCCGGCGGCGTCCACTGCGACGTCGAGCATTGCGACTTAAGTACATAACACTGACTCAGTACAAAAACTCATTTGGTATGATTCTCTGCATGATTGGTTTTAACGTATTACACCTATGACTCGTTTGAACTCAATGGGGTTAGTGATTAATGGAATGTTAGTGGTTAAAGGTTAGTCGTATAAGGGACTTTGGTAGCATTTAACCTGTACTGTCTTTGGACTGAGGAAAATGCTGGGTAGAGCAGCACTTATACTACTTGTGTTAATGTCATGCTGCGATCAGGAAGCCTCCAGCCTCAAGCAAGTGGTGGGGGGCATGAGGGGAAGGCTGTGTGGGGGGCAGATGGGGGCTGGGGAGGATGAGGCGGGGCTGGGACCGCTTGCCACCCTTCCTCCCCAGGCCGGCACCGCGCCCTCACGCCAGGGTCGTGGCAGAGGTGTTGATGATGAGGGAGAGGTCTCCTTCCTCCGAGTGGTGAGGGTGTGAGGCCACTATGTGCTCCTTCAGACGGTACTTGCGGTTAAAGCCCTTCTGGCAGATGGGGCACTTGAAGCTGTTGGGGGCGGTGTGGAGCCTCTCATGGCGCCGGCAGGTGCCCGTCTGGGTGAAACGTTTCCCGCAGTAGCGACATGGGTACGTCAACTTGTCACGGGCCATCCCCAGCAGGTCCTCGCTGAAGCACCCAGCCTGCAACCACCGCCACAGTCACCTCCTCTGCCCGCACGCCACGTATCCTCTACCTATTCCTCCTTATCCTTCTCCATGACTTGGTTAGATCATACCTACTGCACACTGATAACTACATCTAGTTTTTTCTGACTCCCTCATAGTAATTCAGCCAATCGCCACAAAGGCTTCAGTAGTAGCTTTTCAAACTCAGATAAACAGTTCGTAAACAAAGTTCTAATGGCCTGTGATGGGTTTTATCTATTTCTATCAGTCAGTGGTATGGTTCTAATTTTAATGCATTGTCACAACCTCAAGAGAAACTCTTACCATCCCACAGCTTATTGCTAAGGCTTTGCCTTCTCTAGCAGCCAACTCATTAATAATAGCTGGACCCAGTTTTACCTACAGGTGATCACTACAACTAAGAGCAATTCAACCTTCAGAATAATACTAAGGCATTAAATTGTTCTGATGTCCAGAAACTGTTCAAATTGTAAATGTCTCAACTTGTTACCAATTGTGGTCTTGGATCATCCTAGTCATGTTTTCTTCACTAATAACTAAATTAGCTTCTCTCTGAGTACTAGAGAATAGCTGACATCTTACTGGATGACTCCTTCAACACTCAAAAGCACCCTGTAAGATTGTGATTCTTAACTGTCCTGCCTGTTCCTACCCCTTCCAAGCCACTATACCCTTCTCGTGCCTTTTCCCCGAACTGATGAAAGAATATACAGTACTGTATTGTCATTGGAATTAATAACAGATACATTGTGGTTTGTTGTCTATATTGACAACTAACTCACTCCCTTAAGAAAGCGGTGCTCACACCTCTTGTCGGTGTGAGCATTCCCAGTTCAGAACCCCCGACTTAGACGATGTTCTCACTAGTCTGGACACCTACAACGCTCTACATTAACAACATCCCTCAAAGCTGGTCTGAATGCATAATGATGCTGATACATCAATCTCTTTGCATTAACTAAACAGTATTACCTTCACATGTCATCAGCGGAACTAACTCCTAGCAACATTATCAAATTGCGGGTTAAATCAATTTAGAAACCAACTGACCTGTTGAATAATTCTACACTTTGGCAGCTAATCTGGCGTGCGGGCAAATTTGTTAGTCACACTACACTACACCTACATCATTATAGGTCTGGCAAGGATTAAATTGTTAGCTTCAATGTTATATTGTTATTCTTTAGTTAGTCAATTAATATTTGTTTTGCAATACAAGTAAATGAAACTGGCAAAGATAAGCTAAACTTAAGAAGGAATTAATAAATTACAATAATACATTAATTGTCTGAGCAAACATTATGAGCAGCAAGCACTCAACTTGCCAAAATATGCTACAATATTACAGTAACTGGAACCTCCACCCATGCAGCAGGCAATCAGCTAGATATTATCAACATTAGAAACATGCACATAACATCTAGTTGGCAACTGTCATACGAGAGAGAGAGAGAGAGAGAGAGAGGGAGAGAGAGAAGGGAGAGAGAGAGAGAGAAAACAGTTCAAAGTGGAGCCATTATATCCAGACAAAGTCATGCTGTGTGTGATAAAGCTCACGCCAGCACAACTTTGTCTACTAAAGCTCATCGTCCATACACTTTTTTCTTTACAATTTTTTTATACATATAACATTAAATGGAATTAATCAATCTGTGATTTTATTCCGTGCTTTGATCATATAACTTTCTTCTCATAGGTGAGCAATTAGTGATGTTCCAAGAGTCCCACGTGTAAACAAAGTGGTGTGAGCTTACTCCACAACACATTCCTCCTCCAGTAGTTATGGTGGTTTGAACCTACCATACGACATCTACACATTCATAACACTTCACTACACATACCACCCTCCGCACTCACTACCATCACTATACTCACTCTTCACACTCAGCCACACCCACACAACCCCCCCCCCCACACACACGCAAGCAAGCACACACGCACGCACGTCACATTTGGCTATTGAGTTCGCCAGTAAACGTCAGACAACACCATTAACCCTCATGGCCACGCCTCATCGTTCAACACCACCTTACAACGATCCCTCCCTCATAGTTTGAGGTCGGCGTCCAACACCACCACCAACTCACGACGACCCCCTGATAGTTCGAGCTCGGTATCCAACACCACCACCACCTTAAAACGACCCCCTAATAGTCTGAGCTCGGCATCCAGCACCACCACCACCACCTCACAACGACCTCCTGATAGTCTGAGCTCGGTATCCAACACCACCACCACCTTACAACCCCCTCTCCGTCAGATAGAGGTCATTGCAGTGAATACAAGTAAAAGAGAAACGTACCATGGATGACTCGTCGTTATCGCCCATGCCCGAAGTTGGATCGTCGCTGAAGGAGTTGTTGTCGTCGAGGGGGTCCTCCTCCTCCACCTTGACGTCGTGGGAAGGGGTGGAGTTGCCGGAGGTGACAGCAGCCGCCAAGCCCCCCACACTGGACACCAGGTACACCGGGTGTGGCGAGTCCCCGCTGATGTACCCTTCCTGAAATACAACATACTATGATATACCAGTCCATCGGTAGGAGGAGACGACGAAGTAGCAGACGAAGAAGAGGAAGCAGAAAGGGTGGTGGAAGAAGAGGGGGGAACTGTATCTATGATCTAAACTATTATAATAGTTTCACAGACACGTGGTTACATGAGAGAACGGCATCATCAATCATGAACAAAAATAGCAAAACATTGATCACAATATATTGCAAAATAGCCGTTAAAACTGCAGACGTTACCATATATAAGGAGGCCGTACAGCAAGTACTGCAGAGAGAGAGAGGGTGGAAGAGTAAGGGGAAGAGGGAGAGGGGGGGTGGAAGAGTGAGAGGAAGGAAGAGAGAGGGGAGGGAGGGAGGAAGAGAGAGAGGTAGGCAGAGGTAGAAGTGGGTGCCGCGGCAGAGCTATACACTCACCACGTCCCTCACAACACTGGCACACTCACTACAACAATACAAGGAGTGACACAACTCTACACAAACTGGCCTCGCATATTCACAGGCGCAAATCAACATAACAAAAACCAGGAGAAATCATACAGTAATATTAATAACCAATATACTGTAGTTGCATGATAAATAATAAGAAATAATAACACAATCGAAGAGAGGAGGTGCAGCTCCCGCCTCACGTGCTGTCTCGACTGTCTTAACCTTAACTGCAACAAATTCGAAAAACAGAGAAAACAAAAATGAATGGTCAACAGATACTCAGAGTAGGAACTGGGGGAGTGTCTACAGGGTGGGAACTGGGGAGGGGTGAGAGGGTGGGAACTGGGGTGGGTGAGAGGGTGGGAACTGGGGTGGGTGAGAGGGTGGGAACTGGGGAGTGTCTACAGGGTGGGAACTGGGGTGGGTGTGGAGGGTGGGGACTGGGGGAGGGTGGGAACTAGGGAGGACGGGGACTAGGGGGGGGGGTGTACACACACTAGGGAAGACAGGAAGATAAGAGACGAAGCATCAGAGCATCAGTCCATGTGTGTGCGGGGGGGGGGGGGGGGGAAGGGGTCCAGGAGACTTACGATGAAGGTGGTCTTGGCGTCCTCCTGGCCTCGGTCAAGCTCGATCACACTCTGCGCCACCTAGAACACAGTCCCCGGTATCAGTCCCAGGTACCCAGCAACAGTCCCCGGTATCAGTCCCAGCTACCCAGCAACAGTCCCCGGTATCAGTCCCAGGTACCCAGCAACAGTCCCCGGTATCAGTCCCAGGTACCCAGCAACAGTCCCCGGTACCCAGCAACAGTCCCCGGTATCAGTCCCAGGTACCCAGCAACAGTCCCCGGTATCAGTCCCAGGTACCCAGCAACAGTCCCCCACCCCCATACACCTGCTTCCCCAGGTAAAAAAAAAAAATAGGTTCAACTTGCTCATGAAGTACTCTCACGATCCAAGTGTGAGTACTTTGTGATCTATGTACCAAGTGATCTTTGGAAAAGACGAATGTTGTCGTGTCTGCTTGTGGACTGTTATCCTCGGGGATCTCAGTGTTGGGGCAATATAACAACTCTTTCAAGACACTAACAACCAGCATCTATCAAAGATCACACCAGTTCTGCCCCCCAGATAAACACTAGATAACAACCGCAGCCTGAGCAGTAACACCAAAATAATAGACAAAGTAATGTCACATTTATAAATGAACACATCTATGAATGATAAAGAGCTTTGTTAAATTTCCATTGTGAATTTAATGGATGTCTCTCGATAACTAATACAAAGAGTATGATCTCACTTTTCCTCTCATCACAAATCTACCCTTCTACCCTTCCCCTTCTACTCTCCACCAGCCCCTACTACCTCACCCCTTCCTCTTCCTTTCCCTCAACCCCCCCCCCTCTCTGTCTCTCAGAACACAAAATATACACGCCCGGAAAAACATACAACCCAATAGTTTTACTAGTGTTGCTTTGATGCAACACTGTAACAAAGGTGTTGGTTAAGTTGTGTGTCACACCTGCCACGCCTCCTCGTGCCACACCTGCCACGCCTCCTCGTGACACACCTGCCACGCCTCCTCGTGACACACCTGCCACGCCTCCCTGTGACACACCTGCCACGCCTCCCTGTGACACACCTGTGTCTAGCCACGCCCTCTTGTTATAACATTATCAATGCTGAATCTTGTCCGATTCTGAGATCATCTTATTTGAGGCGAGGTGGGGGTCGTTCTAGGCCCCCTAGAGCTGCACACACCAGCTTGAGGTCTGATGTACGTTGTGATGGAGAGGAATGATTACTAGAGTGGAAGGAGGAGAGAAGAAATGGGCAGAGAAAAGGGGGAAAATGCGTGGCTTGAGGATAAAGTGGGGTGGGGGAGATGGGGGGGGGAAGAAACCCCCAAAACTTGATGTGGGCGTTTATAAATGTGGTAGGGTGGGGGTGGGGGGGGTGATGGGGAGGGGTGAGCGAGTGGGGGTGTTGCTAGGAGATGATTTCTTTGTTGACAGACATACATATATGCCGCAAACCCCCCCCCCCCCCTCATCTCCCCCTCCCACGCAAAAATACACTTAACATAATGTAATTAGTGATGCAAGTGAAGTGACAGGTAGGGTGCGGTGAGGGTGACATGGTGGGGGGGGGCGGTAAGGGTGAAGGGGTGGGGTTCTTGGTGCAGGGGGATGGGTGGGGAAGAGAGTGAGGGGGGGACGAGAAGCAGAGTGGGGGGGAGGGGGTCGCAGGTGTCACTGGATGGGGGAGAGTTAGCAGGTGTGTGTGTGTGTGTGTGTGTGTGTGTGTGTGTGTGTGTGTGTGTGTGTGTGTGTGTGTGTGTATTCACCTAGTTGTGTTTGCGGGGATTGAGCTTTGCTCTTTCGGCCCGCCTCTCAACTGTCAATCAAATGTTTACTAACTACTTTCTTTTTCACACACCACACACACCCCCCAGGAAGCAGCCTGTGACAGCTGACTAACTCCCGGGTACCTATTTACTGCTAGGTAACAGGGGCATCAGGGTGATAGTAACTTTGCTCATTTGTGTGTGTGTGTGTGTTTACTATTTATATCTGCAGAATCGAGCAATTAGCTCTTGGACCCCGCCTTTCTAACCAATTGATTGCTCCTCTATTATGTCTACTACATAGCAGATCGTAGCAGCTGTGTAACTCCCAGGTACCTATTTACCGTTAGGTGAACAGGAGCATCAGGGTGAAAGAAACTTTGCCCATTTATGTCTACCCCTTTTTCCCTGGGGATCGAACCCGGGTCCTTAGGATTACGACCCCAGAGCGCTGTCCACTCAGCCGTATGTGTGTTGGGTGGATGGGGGAGAATAGGGGGGGGGGGGAGCAGCTTCCCGTGGCACGCGTCACTACCCCACTTGTGTCCCACCCCCCACCCCCCCCCCTCCCCACCTTACCCACTACCCGCACCCACTCGATCAATACCATGACCCCCTGTGGGGCCCCGGGGTTACCCCCTGCCTGTCCCAGCACTGTCCCAGCTTGTCCCAGCACTGCCCCAATACATCTCAGTCTGTCTGAATACTGTCCCAGCCTGCTCAGCACCGTCCCAGCCTGCTCAGCGCCGTCCCAGCCTGCTCAGCACAGTCCCAGCCTGCTCGGCACCGTCCCAGCCTGCTCAGCACAGTCCCAGCCTGCTCGGCACCGTCCCAGCCTGCTCAGCACAGTCCCAGCCTGCTCGGCACCGTCCCAGCCTGCTCAGCACAGTCCCAGCCTGCTCAGCGCCGTCCCAGCCTGCTCAGCACAGTCCCAGCCTGCTCAGCGCCGTCCCAGCCTGCTCAGCGCCGTCCCAGCCTGCTCGGCACCGTCCCAGCCTGCTCAGCGCCGTCCCAGCCTGCTCAGCGCCGTTCCAGCCTGCCCCATCACCGTCCCAGCCTGCTCAGCACCGTCTCAGCCTGCCCCATCACATACTGGACAGAACTTGAGACGGTAAAGGTGCGTTAAAATAGGTGATTGAGAGCAAGAGTGGAAGTGTAAGGGTGCTTCAAGGTGAGGTGTGAGGTGTGAGGGGTGAGGTGTTCGAGGTGAGGTGTGAGGTGTGAGGGGTGAGGGGTGAGGGGTGAGGTGTGAGGTGTGAGGTGTGAGGGGTGAGGTGTGAGGGGTGAGGGAGGCTCCGCTAACGACGTAGGGGCTGCAGGAGAGGAACCCGTGTTCTCCAGCCCGTCTGAGAGACACTCTCCCTAGTTTGGGGTATTGTATCGATTGACAAGAGGCTGAGTGAGCGCCAATATTGATCCCAACACTACCACTGTAAGAGGGTTTAAAGGGCTAGGGGAGGGGGGGCAGGCATAGGCATGGGGTTTAAAGGGCTACGGAAGAAGGGAGCAGGCATGGGTAAGGGGTAGGTAGCCAAGGGGAGGGGAGTTATGACTTGTAATGGGTGGGAGAGGGGGAAGGAGGATAGAGTCCATAGGTAAGGTAAGGCGTAGTGTAGTGTAGTGATAGGTAAGGGGGTGTAGTGGAGAGCAAGAGGTGGTTATGGTGGAGTGGGAGCTGGGTATGGAGGCGGTCAAGTGTGTGCTCCCTGAGGCGGAGTGTGTAGGGAAGGAGGGAGAGGAGAGCTGGCGAGGATGGAGGTGCATGAGTCTTGTGAGGCGGTAGGTACGTGTACCGTGTTGTGAGGTGGTAGGTACATGTACCGTGTTGTGAGGCGGTAGGTACATGTACCGTGTTGTGAGGTGGTAGGTACATGGGGCTACATGGGTGGGTGAGGTGTAGGGGTGAGGGAGTGTGGTAGCACCACACTGGGTGAGGCTCCAGGCGCCTGGGCCACGTGCGACACCACCACCACCGCTGCTGCTGCCCGGCACGCCTCGCGCCCTCCGATCGATATTTCCAACATGTGTGTGTGAGTGCCGCCAGGGCACACGCCCCGTCCACCCTCACCCTGCACCCTACACCTGGGCACTACCGCCACATGTGGCAGGGTCCAGGTGTAGGGTGGGCCCCATACCCATCCCGTGAGTGGTGGTAGTAGGCCCCCCCATACCCATACCGTGGGCGGTAGTGGGCCCCATAACAATCCCATGGGTGATAGTGGGCCCCCATACCGTGGGCGGTGGTGGACAGGTTACAAGGCACACAGTGGGAGTGAGCAACAAGGCACTAACCTGCCTGCTGGTGTGCCAGTCACTGACTCGGTAAACTATTCACTTGCTCCCTGCATGGCATCGTGGCATCCACCTGCATGGCACGGTCCACATGGCACTACTCCCACCCACCCCGCCACATGCCTAGATAATGACAGTGTTGACACGCCTGCTGCCTAACTGCACTTGCTGACACCATGACAGGGCGCTGACCACTGGTCTGACTGTCTAGGTAAACCACTTACAGTAACACACGAAATAAGTTAATGAAGGAAAAACATAGTTAAGGATATCCAAGGCCTCAGTGATGTATCTTCCAGGGTCTTTCAGGAATGCAAGGAAGAGTCCAGTTAAACCTTGTCAAGTAGACGCCATAACCATTTTGGGTGCCACTTGCAACAGTGTAGAGGTCAGCAAATATAGTGCCAGTAGGTAAGGTAACCTCAAGGTAAGGTAGGCCCTTGAGCAGGGAGAGAGAGACACCACAAGACCATTGAAGTGCAAACACCAATCATACTCATAATATGTCCATACAAATTTTTCAGTCGAGACGGGTTATCCAATAAATTCAATTTTAATGATAAAAGGACAGATTGGACAAAATAAACCTGGAACTTTCAAACATCCAGAGGGAAACCTGTTCTAAGTAATAACTCTCCCAGGCAAGGAATACAACAACACACTGGCAAAGCATATAAGGTGTGTGAGAGACATGTTCCTTTGCTTACAGCCAGAAAGAGCAGCAGCAGCAGCAGCAGCAGCAGCAGCAGCAGCAGCAGCCGCAGCAGCAGCAGCCGCAGCAGCCGCAGCAGCAGCAGCCGCAGCAGCCGCAGCAGCAGCAGCCGCAGCAGCAGCAGCAGCAGCGTAGAAAGAGAACGCAGACGGTACTCCAGAAGAACAAACAGACCAGTTGGCCTAACGTCCCACATAATACAAGTTTTGCTAGAGTAATTGAGTGTAACATCTGCAGTTGTATGGAGACCAATGATCTCCACAACCCAGGTCAATATGAAGGGAATATCATGCCTTT